ACCGGACGATTTGGAGGGGATGATGGTCATGGCACAGCGTGTGGAGGACAGGGACTCAGTAGTGGGTAAAACTTATGCTGGGTTGGGCCATGGGGGACATGGGCCCAATGCCCATCAGACTGGGTGGGGAAGGACGGCTTTGTCTACCAAGGGTGGTGGGAATGGACCCAGGGGAGGAAATTATGGGCCAGGATCCACAACCCAATTCACCAATTCTACTAATTCGAATTCTTCTCCTCAGGTTTCCGTGGCAAGCAATGCCACTCATACCAACACGAATCGGGTTGGAGGAGTAACATCCGAAAATGGGGTTTCGTCCCAAACTGGTGGAGGAGCGACGACTGGCGGGCGAGGCTGGAACCGTTACCGCCGTCTCTCGCCGGAAGAAGTAGCTGAACACCGGCGGAGAAATTTATGTTTCAAGTGTGATGGAGTTTTTGGTCCAGGACATGTGTGTCCGAACCCTAACTTATGGGTTATGGTGTTGAATGAGGACGAGGAGGAACCGACGGATGGAGACGTGGTGCGTGGCGACAGAGAGGGGGAACCTGAGGAAGTTCTTCAGCTTAATGTTCAGAGCGTGGTGGGCCTCACCTCAAATCGTTCACTGAAATTATGGGGAAAGGTAAATGACCAAGCAGTCGTGGTTCTCATAGACACGGGGGCTTCTAATAATTTTATTACGGACGGCACAGTGGACCGGTTGGGAATTCCGATTGATGATGCAAAAAGCTTCCGTGTGGGAGTGGGTGATGGTACCCAGGTACAGGGGAAGGGATTCTGCAAGGGGGTGCAATTAACACTTCCAGGTTTGTCAATTACCCAAGATTTCTATGTTTTCCATCTTAATGATGTTGATTTGGTGCTGGGTTACTCTTGGTTGGAAGAACTGGGAAACATTCAAGCTAACTTCAGGGAGAGAATTCTTCGCATTCCTTGGCAAGGAAAGGTTGTTCAATTACAGGGGGACCCTACTCTATCTTGCAGTCGGGTGTCATATAAGGGCATGTCACGTTCTTGGAAAAAATGAGAGGAAGGATATTACGTGGAACTGGGGTATTGTGCAATGGAGGTGCTTCATTCTCAGGAAGTGACTCCAATGATCTCTGATTTATTGCAACAATACAAGGAAGTGTTTCAACCACCACAGGAGTTGCCACCGTCCAGAGATTGTGATCACAAAATCTTACTGAAGCCAGATGCTACCATCCCCAATATTCGGTCGTATCGCTATCCTTACTATCAAAAGGAAGAGATTGAGCGGTTCGTTAGGGATATGATGGCAGCAGGGATGATTCGTCCAAGTTGCAGCCCTTATTCCAGCCCATTGATTCTGGTTAAGAAGAAAGATGGGAGTTGGTGCTTTTGCGTCGATTATAGAGCATTGAACAAGGTCACCATTCCTGACAAATTTCCGCTTCCGGTTATAGATGAACTTCTGGATGAGCTGAACGGGGCAGGAATCTTTTCCAAATTGGATTTGAAGTCCGGATATAACCAGATCCGCATGCGAGTTGATGATATTGAAAAAACTGCCTTTCGTACTAATGAAGGGCATTACGAGTACCTTGTGATGCCCTTTGGATTGAGAAATGCACCGTCTACATTTCAATCCTTGATGAACTCAGTCTTCAAGCCATTCTTGCGTAAATTTGTCTTGGTTTTCTTTGACAACATTTTAGTATACAGCTGCGATGAAGAACAGCATGTGGCACACTTGAAAGCGGTGCTGGAGATTCTGAGAAACAATCAGTTCTCTGCTAACGAAAAGAAATGCACATTCGCTCAGAAGGAGTTGGAGTACTTGGGCTATTTGATCTCTCAAGATGGGGTGCGGGCAGATCCCCAAAAATTGGCAGCCATCAAACAGTGGCCTGTTCCCAGGAATTTGAAGGGACTCAGGGGTTTTTTGGGTCTAACAGGCTATTACAGACGCTTTGTTACCCAATATGGTCAGCTGGCTAAACCACTCACCCAGTTACTGAAGAAGGATAGTTTCCTATGGAACGCTGAGGCACAAAGTTGTTTTGAGGTATTGAAGGAGGAAATGATGAAAGTACCCACCTTAGCCTTACCGGATTTCACTGCTCTGTTTGTCTTGGAGACGGATGCTTCGGGAGTAGGTATGAGGGCTGTTTTGATGCAAGCTGAGCACCCCATTGCTTTCCTTAGTAAAGCTTTTTCTGACAGAGACAAGCTGTTGTCGGTATATGAACGGGAGTTGAAAGCTATAGTATTTGCAGTGCATAAGTGGCGTCATTATTTATTTTAGGGGCCATTTCCTTATTAGAACGGACCAACAGAGTCTGAAATACTTGACGGAGCAACGACTTATGGTAGAGGGGCAACAGAAATGGGTTTCTAAACTCATGGGCTACGATTTTGAGATCCAATACTAGCCGGGACCTGACAATAAAGCGGTTGATGCACTGTCACGAGTTATGGATTGTAGGGAGCTCACACTTATTACCAGCCCGGATCTCCAAAAATTGTCTGAGGGTATCCTACTTGACCCTGCCACTAAAACCATTTTTACTGACCTGTTGTTAGATGCACAATCCCATTCGGGTTACCATGTCATTAATGGCTGCCTCTGGTATAAGAACCGATTGGTTCTCCCAAAATCTTCTCCTCATATTCCTATTATTTTGCAGGAATTTCACTCGTCCCCATGGGGAGGACATTCTGGAGAGTTACGCACTTTTAAACGCTTGGCTGCTGTATTTTTTTGGAAAAATATGCGTAAAGATGTGGCAGTTTTTGTTCAAGCCTGTGAGATATGTCAACGGCAGAAATACAGTCATTTAAAGCCAGCTGGTCTCTTGCAGCCGCTTCCAATTCCCCAGCAAGTGTGGGATGATGTCTCAATGGATTTCATTGGGGGTTTACCAAAGTCTTTGGGAATGGACACTATATTAGTGGTGGTGGATAGACTCACCAAATTTGCTCATTTCATGACTCTTAAACATCCCTACGATGCTCAAAATGTAGCTGTGGTTTTTATGAATGAGGTGGTGCGTTTACATGGTGTGCCTAAGTCTATCATCTCAGACCGAGACCGTGTGTTTGTAAGCAAGTTCTGGACTGAACTATTTAAATTGACAGGCACCAAATTACGGTTCAGTTCGGCATATCACCCTCAAACGGATAGGCAAACTGAGGTCGTTAATCGTACCTTGGAGACTTACTTACGTTGTTTTGCAAACGGGCATCCCAAGGCATGGGCTAAATGGTTGTCATGGGCGAAATTCTGGTTCAACACGTCTTACAACCGCTCGATACAGATGACTCCATTTCGCGCTTTATATGGCAGGGATCCACCCTCCGTCATTTCCTTCCAACCGAACAGCACTGCAATGGTTGCTATGGATTCTTGGATGGGGGCCAGGGATGGTATTTTGCAGGAACTCAAGAGCAATATGCTCTTAGCACAGCAGCGCATGAAGGTTCAGGCCGATAAGGGTAGAAGGGAGGAAGAGTTTCATACGGGGGATATGGTCTACCTCAAAATTCAACCATATAAGCTGCGTTCCTTAGCTAATCGTTTGAATCAGAAGCTTAGCCCACGGTATTATGGACCCTTTTCTGTACAGGAGAGGGTGGGGCCGGTTGCTTATAAATTAGAACTCCCTTCATATTCAAAGGTTCACCCAGTTTTTCATGTGTCCCAGTTAAAGAGGCATGTGCATCCTTCATTGTCTGTTTTGGAGTTGCCTCGTTGTCTATCTGATTCGTTGGAATTGCGTGTTCAGCCATCTGAGGTGCTGCAGACTCATCATCTCTCGGATGGACAAACATAGGTACTTGTCAAATGGGAGGATTAGCCGGATTGTGAGTGTACTTGAGAAAATTTAGTAAATTTGCAAATGCAATTTCCTACCTTTCACCTTGAGGACAAGGTGGATTTTGAAGGGGGGTGTTGATGGACCTGCTGATGGACCTGTTGGGCCTGCACATGTTAATAGGCCTGCATCTGCACCTGTGGTTGAGGAGTTTGGTCCCTCTCTTGCATTCTTTGACATAGTTCATAGAAGGAAAGCTTACAGGAGAGCCCAAGGGAGGAAAGCATATGACAAACTGAAATTGGTTAGGACCCTTGACACGTGGAATGCTGCACATGGGGAGGGAAGCGTGGAAGGAGAGAGGGGAGCTGAGGATATAAGTTAGTTATGAAATAGGGATGGGGGAGGAGAAAAAGGATGTGAGAATAGTAGGAGCAGGATACTGAGTATGTGTAACTCAGTGACTGTGTATGGAATAAGGAGTGTAGTCCGTTGAATCGGATAGATTGCTTACGAAGCTATTTTCATTAATATTTGCATCTTGTTCATTGTAATCAGTTGACTCAGGCCATTGATCTGAGCAGCACGGTTATTTGGTATAATATCATTCTGAGTATTTGTCTTTACTGATATCTTGCTACCTGTAATTGCCTTTATTGCTGTGATTGTCTAAATTGAAGGTCAGGTGCCAACATTATCTCACAATGATTTTTTTTTAAGTGTTTTTTTTTTTTTCAAGAAATTGGTGGGATCCACCATAACAATGTTACTAAGGCATCGGAGAAAAAATTGACTCCAACATAAGAAAAGATTTTGCCTTAATTAATATGCATTAATTATTATAGATTTATGATAAAAGAATTTCGCACCAACATTCATTAATATTTTAATTCATTATTTATAATTATATTATTCTCTTCGTAATTAAAATAAAGACAACAAAGATTATTATGTCAAAGCATTATTGGATGTCGGTGCTATTATAGTGAGTGTACAAACAAATTAAATTCAACCTTCTAACCAAAAAATGGGCAATTGTTGATATGGATTTAGATGAAAATTTACAATTAATCAAAAAGGGATTACCATAAATAAACAAAAAATCACATAATCATTCTTAAATCAATTTATACCATTAATTCTAATCAAACACAAATTATTTCTTTATTCTTAAGATTATAAATGAAATTTTTTTTAAGGAAAAAAACAAAACTTGGCTTTTAACATACATATGACAGCTTATCCATCAACAGTTATTATCATGCTCACTGTAATGACAGCTTTTGCTATGATTTAAATGTCATAAGCAAAAGTGATTCTAGCTTATCTTAATCAATACGAATTTCTTTTACTTGGTATATTTAATATTTCCATTACTAACAAATGAGGATAAACAACAGGATATAAATAAAAAGGGAAAATTGAAACCCCCATTACTTCTTCTTCCCTGCTTTTCCTTCCTTTCTCCTTACAATTTCATCAGCATATTTGACACCCTTACCTTTGTATGGTTCTGGGGGTCTCCATCTCCTAATTGAAGCAGCAAACTCGCCAATCTCAGACTTGTCATATCCACTAACTGTGATTCTGGTGTTTTCTTCCACCTTCACTTTGAGGCTACCAGGGATTTTCATCTTAACAGGATGAGAAAATCCAAGATTCAGCACTAACTCATTTCCTTCTATCATAGCACGATACCCAACACCAACAAGTTGAAGTTTCTTTTCAAAACCTTTAGATACTCCAACCACCAAGTTGTCTGTAAGCGTCCTAATAACATTTATATGCAAACCGCATAAGAGTCATATATATGAACATATAGACAAATGAAAAATAATCAGAAGTTATATTTGTCTGATTCCAAATTGTGACGCACAAATTAAGCTTTCAAAGGTGAAACCTGTGTTTCCACTCATACAAGAAAAACATCCATCCATGTAATGGAACTAGAATAATAATAATAATAATAATAATAATAATAACAATAACAAAAATAGCATTATGTAGCCAAGAGTTCAGTTCCCCCCAACAACATATGAAAAGTGAATGAAGAGTATCTGAAAAATGCACTGCATAAATTTGCAAAGTTTAGAGTCTATTCACAAATGCAGGTATAAGGCTAACTTGAATCTTTTAGGATACTACTATATCTCAAGTTTAATAACAAAAAATAACCAATCTCTGAAACTACCAAGGGTTAACTGTACAAGTTAATTGCACTGGGAGTGAGATGGATGTTCTCACCACCTCCAGTTTTAAAAAGCTGCAAAGAACACAAGCTTTTCATCACATATACACACACAACAAGAAAAGGGGGCAAGAGAGTGAGGGGACCATCAAAATGGAAGTTCCCAATAAAAATTTAATGGCACTCTATACCCAATATGATTAGTTACTTCCATTTTTTTTTTCTTTATGGAGAAATTTCTAAATGACTGTTTGTTGTAGAAGGGGCTAGGAAAAGAACGAGAACCTTCAGGGTTCCAATAACCAAGAATTCTCTGAATTCATTGGGTTTCTATACACTATTCTTTTTTAATCATTATAAAATCTGAATATCATAGGTATGTCTTAAGTAATTATTAACAAAATACTAACTACCAACATCTAGCTCAAATAATTCATTATCATTGCTCATGATAAAGCAACACCAACAAATGAATCAAAGGTTATAAATTTACAATCATGATGTCACAAACATTGGCAACATCTCTTGTTTCCGATTATCAAATAAAATGTTTTCTTCCTACTTCTTTTAAGCGTGTTGAGAAAATAGTTTTGAACATAGGTACACAAAGGCAATTAGCATGTATTGAGACAAAAACAGAAATGAAAGATTCCCAAGTCCCAATTGAATAAAGGTTCAGTAAACTGAAGTACCGGAAAAGCCCATGCATTTGATTGGCCCTTCTGGTTTCGACTGTCTTTCTAATTCTTAGAGTCCCTGGCTCCTGCCTCTCAACTGTCACTTCTCGAGGATAAGTTAATGCAAGTTCTCCTAAAGGTCCTTTTACTTGTATATCCTGCCCTTCCAATTTGATTGTAACATTGGATGGCACTGCAACTGGTTGCTTCCCAATTCGTGATTCCTTACACTCTGTAGTCTTTCTAAAGAAACCAATATGAACAGCAGGAACACTTGAAACTCTGAATTTTTTCCTCTCACCCAAGAAAACAGAATTCAAATTGCTGAAATACAACAGCAAACTACCAGTGAGATCTCAAATTTATAAAATACTTATCTTTGAATTAACGAGATTTTCATCAACTAAGAAATTATATCAATCATGTGAAAACATTAAAAGATAATAGAGAATAACAAAAATCAAGATTGTCCAAAACAGATACAAGGCCTGGTTAACTTGATGTTCTCCTAAAATATAGAAGTTATTTTTGCACTTCATAGTCTTGTGTTCAATGTTAAAAAATGCAATTTCGAGGAAAAGTAAAATGCAATGTCCCAAAAGAAACCAATGAAGTGGCAACAAGAATAATCTCCCAAGCCCTTTTTTTTAATAGTAAAAGTATGAATATTCCCCATGAATAAGTTAGTCAAGAATTCCCTGTTGGACTTGAACTTCTCTGCAAGCCTGCACATGTCACTTGTAATATGGAAAACAGATTCGGATTCATAATTCTTCAAATACTCACTGTGCTACTAACAAGCATTTCATCAAACATCCTCAGCGCAACATCCATTTTATTGAATTCCAAGCACAGATTGACAAGATTATTATCTTCAAGCAGGGCATTTTGACAACCAAATTCAATTGACAACCAAATTCAATTAAAGACCCATAAATTTCTTGAGCCAGCATATAATCCTAAACTACATTCAGGTATTGAAACATGGAGGGAGTTCAGAACACTGGGCTTTCCTCAAAGTTTGAGACTTTGTGTGCTCTTACGAAAAGGGTAGCCGAATCCCATAACGGGTGCTTTTGCTTTCAGTGAGATGTAACACTTGACAACCATATATAACCCATTATAATGAACAACAGTGAAGTGCAATGCAACATATGAATTTATCAGCATGATGATGCTTCAAAACACAGGAAATGAAGAAATGGGGTTTGCATACCTGAACCAAAGAAGAGAAAGAGAAAAGGTAGCAGTAGCTAAAGTTAGGGTCTTGACCTGATTTGGAAAGAGGAAGTAACTGAGGAAACCATTGTTCCAGCAACGTGCGAAATGTCTCGGTTCCACCAAGAACAAAAAAATGCCTTATCCAATGAGCTACCTGTTATCTGCCACAGTGGGGTGATCGGTAATTTCGGTTTCTGATCCATGAAATTTTGTTGCCTTGTCCTTCTTGGACCTTGGACTTTACCATTTAGGGCCCAAAAGCCCAATATCAAAGTATGCTCAAGTATCTTTCCAATGAAACAATGGGTTATTTGCTTCTTCTTCTTTTTTTAATTTAATGTCAGAGTATATCCTATACGGGTTATATTTATCTTATGTTGTAGGAAAATGATTGTCTCATATTATAGAAATAGAATTACAAGTGAAACCCACATGTAAGAGGAGAGAGAAAAATAGATGTGAGACCCATATCCACTTTGTGTGTGTAGAAAACTTGTTTATCTTACGCAACATAAGATAAATATAACTCATCCTATACTTAGTGTTCTAAATCCTAGTGCATTATCATATTATAGTCTTTTAAAGATTTTTTTTATCCAATTTCATCATATTTGTCCTCATAATAACACAAAAGGACCAATTTGATAATTGTTTTGTATTTTTGGGAGAGGCTAACTTAATGACAAAACTTTAGATGACTAATGTGGTGATATCTAGTCTTCAAGGGATGAATTTGGTAACAAAATTCTTTAAAAAATATATATGATGATACCATAATCTTTGAATGATCAAATAGAAGGTTTATTACTATAATCTTTGATTAAAGCAAGAATGATATGTTTTCCCGTCAAAGAAAAAACAATAATTTGTGTAAAGTATGGTAAAAAGTTTATATTATAAATAGTCTACACATTTGAGCAATTCTTTGAGGGTACACTTCCTAAGTGCAGTCCATGATGTTCCTTTTTCATATTGGTTTGTTACGAGATTACACGCAGTGATTTAAGTTTAAATAATAAGCGTTCTTCTCCGTTGTCTAAGAGGGGAGATCCTACTAGGATAGGTTAACTTGGACAGAGGTTATAGGTTTTTCATGATAACATCTATATGTGTTTAAAAGAGAAGTTACGTAAAGAATATAAAATGAGATAGATTTTGCTAATCCATTCTGCTTTTGAAAGAACTAAGAAGACGCTTTTGAATTGCTTCTTCAATCTTCAGTGGTAAAGTAGATTTTGCCAAGTTGGCTCAGGTCCTTATTTTAAGAGTAACTAGCAGAGCCAAAGCTGGATACTACCCAACTTTATGCTGTAAAGCCCCTCCATCTTTACATACCTAGTTTGTTGACTTCTTTTGCTGATAAATTGGTGTCAATACGAATATGATGATGGTATATTCAACAAGTTTCATGTGTACTTGGCTCTTTTCATCACATGTGAGAAGATCGTTGCACACTGCATGAAGATCTGTGCAGATTTTAAGCAGCGTGAGTTGTTCACCATTTTTTATACACAGCGTTTTGATATTGTTTGACGCATTTTTGTAATACTTATGAGGATTAATGTTTTTCATGTATTAAACTTTTAGAAGATAATCTTATGTGTTAGACGTATATAAAAGTGCATGAATCACATAACTATTATTATGTTTTTTTCTTCACATAATCTTACATGAGTTTTACACATTTTTATATGTATAAGAAATAAAATTATCTTCAGAAATAATAATAACTTTTGTTTGCAAGAGTTACTTTTTGTGAAAAGAAGCTTTTATGAGAAATATTTAAAATCAACTTTACTCCAGAAGATTGTTTTATGCTTTTTAGTTACGATTTCAAAAGTGCTTTCAACAGGTGGTCAAACTCCAATAAACAATAGTAAGATTTTAGTATAATTTATTTCAAAAAATTAATATAAACAAACTTAAAATAATTTATGATAAAAAACTTATTTGTGTTTAGAGTGATATAACAGTAGCTTCATATTAAATTTAGGTAGTTGAAACCAAACATTTCTTTTTGGCGTTTAACCTTTTGATGAGTATTGATGGAGGCACACCCATAGTTTTATTTTATTTTTAAATATCCACCAATCTCCGAAATTCTAATAAGCCTTATTAATCTGATTTTAAGTTTAAATTTCTCTACCCTTCTCATAAATTGCGATCATGAGAAATCAAATACATTACTTTTTGGACAAGTCAAATCCTAAGACGTGGGATGCTACTAAACAACTCTTGATAGCACAATCTTAATTTTAAGGGCAGTGCCCTTTATTCGATATAAGAGGAATTTCAATTTTTGGTGCGTTTACCAGTATCAAATAAAGTTTTACATACAATTGAGCACGGATGTGATAGCAGAAATTATGTAAATAACATAATCAATTTAGTTTCTGCCGTTACATGTCTAGCACAAATCTCCACTCCGGACACAATAATAACATATTGTTCTAATGCAAGAAAGATAATGATAAAACATTACTAATTATAAAAAATTAATTCAACCCAAAAACTTAAGCTATTCGTGAAGGTCTTTTTAATAGTTTATATTATATTTTAGGGAAAAGTTCATCAATACTCCTGTGATTTGCTTCAGAATTATCTATGCTCCTGTGATTTTTTGTTTATCGTATATGTCCCTGTAGTGTGTAAAAAGTAAAAAATCACAGGGGCATATATAATAAAAAAGACATACTCTTTTACAAATCACAGGGACATATATGATAAAAAAAATCACAGGGGTATAAATGATTCTGGAGTAAACTAGGGTATTGGTGAACTTTTTCCTATATTTTAATAATGGATAGGTCTTTTTAATAGTTTATATTATATTCTAATAATGGATAATGTATCAGGTCCAGCCTACCTGTACTAAGAAATTCCACAAAGAAAATGAAGGGCAAAATCGGAATTCGGGATACGAAACTCTGATACCATATGAAGTTCCAATTCAACCCAAAAATTTAAGCAATTGAACGAGGGACTTTTTAATGGTTTATATTATACTCACGGGATTTATTACTCTTATGTTGCATAAAATATAATCTATCTCCTACACACACAAACTCAAAATGGGTCCCACTTTACTTTTTATCTCTCTTCCCCTAAAAATGGACCCCACCTGCACCAATGAGTGTGTAGAAGATAATACATATCTTCTACAACATAAGAAAACTATTACCCTATACTCTAATAGCTATTATAAACTCGACAAAAATGTATGGAAGTACACCGATTGTCCATTTTAAAATCTACATTATATCTGTTAATTAATTACATAGCGACCCTCCATGCAACCACAGAGTGTACACTATGCACAAGCAAGGTCCTACACTACAACATATGCAACTAGTCATCATGTTGTGTGTCCAACAAAGAAAAGAAAAAAAAGGAAGGAATCAATCAGTGATGTCTAGCATTTGCATCATTCCACTCATAGAGATGTTCAAATTTCTTCATATGGTGTGGTCCATAGGAAACATAGGGAGAGGGAGTGTGCATATCCAAGCTTTTGCCATATCCACGCGTGAATATACTATACTGTGCATCCTTTTTGGGATTTCAAAACCCAATAAGGCTTTTGCAGCTTAACTGTTTAAAAGAGACCCTTCACACTTCACAGAGTTGAGTAACCAACAACAACATTACTTTGCTCGAAGCCAGAGGGTGACAACACCACGCCACCCTCTTCTTCTTGCACAGAGGGTTCAGTTCTCCAAACAAGAGCCTTCTTCATTTTTTATTTTTATTTTTAAGATAAACAAGCTATGTCTGTAAGTCCCTCCTTCTAATATCTCTCTCTGCAGGCACATACAAACACTGAATATGGTTCATATATAATATTTGTGTAGTTGAAGAGAAGGTAATAATTATGACTGAGATTGATGCAATGTGTGATATATATTGCAGAATATTGTAGAGGTGAGAGTTCCAAACCTTGATTGTGAGGGATGTGCTTCAAAATTAAAGAAAGCTCTCTTCAAGCTCAAAGGTACAGTTTGTATAAGCAATTTTTTTTTTTTTTTATTATTGGTACCCTTTTACTTTCTGGTTGCAATGAGTGGAACTTGTATACATGGGACACAGAAATAGTTTTTGGGGCTGATCTAAGCATGTTATTCGGGCTTTGATTCCCAAAATCTCATGTGCATTCCACACTCACTTTGGTTAGTGAAAATTTGGGCTTCTGTGATGAAGTTAAATGTACACCACCATTATGAGGTACATGCAGAGCTCCTTAATCTGGAGATCATCTTCTGTACAAATGTAATAGATGCTCTATCATTTAACAAGTAATACTTGGATAAAAAAAATATTTTTGTCTCTGTACAAACATCACAGTTATTCTTCAATTTTTATTGACTAGTTGCACCGAGTGAATGGTGTGACAGTTGTACCCTATTTCCCTTAATTTGGGCTCCAATTTTAGGATGGTTAGGAAGTACACACAGCTTTGTTAATTTTTTTTTTTATTTTTTTTAATAATGTGTTGTTTTGTAGATGATGTCTTAATTTGAATGTAGAACTTTTTGTTTTGGTCAGAGTAAACAAATAAGAGTTACATTATTTACTAAAAAAAAAAAAAAGAGTTGCATTTCCTTTTTTTAAAAAAACAAAATGGGCTTAAGAAAAACATGCCCAAAGATAAGTATTAAGTAAGATGAAACTACTCATCCCATTTCCTACTCTTATATCAGGTAATGTCAAATGATTATAAGTATCATAAAGAAATTTCCATTTAATCTAAGTTGGGTCACCTTGAGCCATTTGTATGTACCATGTTGATTTTTGAATGTGGGATTTAATTTGCAGGAGTAGATGAGGTAGAGGTTGAAATGGAGGCACAAAAAATAACAGTGAGAGGTTATGGCTTGGAGGAAAAGAAAGTGCTAAAAGCAATCAAACGTGCAGGGAAAGCAGCAGAACCATGGCCATTTCCAGGGCATGCACATTTTGCTTCATTTTACAAGTACCCAAGTTACATTGTTAACCATTACTATGATGCATATAAAAGTGAAGCAACCAATGGAGTCCATACTTTTTTCCACACCCCTGCTGTGTATTCAGTTGCTGTGGCATCTGATGAGGCCATTGCTTCACTCTTTAGTGATGATAACCCTCATGCTTGCACTATTATGTAAACTATGTTCATACTTGTTTTCCTTACTTCCATTCTCTTTGAAAACACGATTAAGGAGCAAAATTTGAGTGATTCATCTTTTTGCACTTCCAGGGAATCATGAAGAATTTTGTGTTTGTTTATTGGTTATTTTTTTTTATTTTTCTAATTTTCTTGAGTGTATTATCATATGCCTCCTTTTAATATCCATCGATTTTCTTTCTTTATACTTTTTTTATATTGTTGTTTAATTTACATAGCTCAGTTTAAAGCCATTCCAATAGTTAATGTGATTTTTTGTGATGGTTATTAATTTTCAATGTGATTATAAACTAATTAGGTAAATCGTATTTTACTCACAGAAGTCCTACTTTAACTCGCTTTTGTTACGAAGCTCGTATTAAATACTGAAATTGCTATCATGTATGTGATATTTTCTAATAAAAGCATGACACATGACTAATACTTTTTAATCACATCATCTTCTTTTGTTAAATTTCTTTAGTTGAAGAATAAAACAAATATACCCCATATTTTTGTTAAAAAAAAAAAAGGTGCCGTAACTAAAAGTAAAGGGTTTTATTGAAAAAAACTTTAAAAAAAAATTATTTAGGTACACAGTTATTTTTTCATATTTATAAGGGAAGATTATATTTACAGAATTTTTGTTTACAAACCATACTATGTACTTCCGGAAGTATACTATGAGCCTGTTTGAATAAGTTTTTTTTCTTCAAAAGCTGCTTCTTTTAAGAAAAAAAAGTACTTTTCGAAAAAAAGTCTGTTTGGATGTCTGCTTTTAAAAAAAGCAGAAGCCATAAAAAAGTCAAAAACCTACTTTTTTCGGGAGCTAAAAATTTTAACTTTTAAAAAAAGCAGAAGTCAAAAGCCAATATTTTTTTCAAAAATCAAATAATTTTTTAAAAATATAAATAGTTGTAGCTTTTATAAAAAGTACTTTTAAAATAAGGAAGTGGTAAAAAGAACTTTCTTAGAAAGCAAATACAAACAGACTCTATACACTTCCGAGAGTATATAGTATAATTTACAAAAATTTATAAACAAATATTTTCATGTATTTATAACTTAAAAGTTGGGCACGTGAAGGGTGTTGCATAAGAAAGAGTGAGGGGAGAGAGAAGAAGAGTTCGAGTTCGAGAGAGACGGACAGGGGAGATTTGCCAAACTTTCCTTGGTTTTCTGACTTCAATGGATAGGCCCAATAGTTTATTAAGTAAACTGTGCAACGGCCATTACTCAGACAAGGTTGGAATAGACTCATAGACAATACAATTGGAACACATATTTTTCTTCCCCTCCTAATTATAACTAACAAAATGATGAGAGAAACAAAAATAAAATTTGACTAGTTTTATATAGAATAAAAGTTGAAATGATTCAAAATATTCATGATGAAGGTTTCTTTTGGTACTCTATCTAAAAATTAAAAACTATATTATTTTTTTAAAACTATAAATTAAATATCAAAAGTCTATAATTTTTTAGTATAAAATTTTTATTGCTTAATTTATAACTTTACAAGTCTACAACTTTTATTATAATATTTAAAATAAAATCTATTATTTTTAAAAAATTAGCAGAATATTGTTTATCAAATAATAAGTGAATCACTTCTATCCTAATTTATTGTATTATGTCCCTGTGTATGTGCAAGTATGAGTCATTTCCTGTTTCCACTGACATTACTGCTTGACAGAGCGAGCTTGGGACAAATTAAAGTGCTGCGACATTGATATTATTCGCTATTCCAGTTCTACTATTGGCATTGGCTTACATCAATCCCATACTCATTTAGCTCTACAACCCTTTTTTCTTTTTAAGAAAAAGATACAAAATGAAGAGATGTACAAATTAATGGGGGGAAAAGATGTATCATGTTGTCAACTATATGATTTGTGAAGAATCTCCAACAACTTTTCTTTTTCTTTCTTTGTCCAAGACAAACTCCACCTACTTTGCGTGATGACTCCTATCCAAACTTGAATTGGGTTTCTAAAAGAAAAAAATTCTAACTTTAGAGTTTAATGTTTAATATGAAGGTAAATACAAAATGTTTTTGAGAGTTTGTTTCGATCCTTTCTTTTTTAAATTAGAAATAGAAACTACTTATAAGGTAAAGTTAAAAAGAAAAGCTTAAAAAAAAAAAAATCTAAAAACGGTTTGATTGTTACATAAAAAATTTAGTTTAAAAGCACATATTTCAAAAAAACTAGTTCTCTAACTTTTCATTTAAAAAAAAACACAATTTAAGAATTGCTGATAAGAGCTTAAAAAAAAGCTCCTCCTAGGAGCTTTTGATTTTTAGCTTTTTTTCCATTATAAAAAAAAAAATTTATTACAAGAGTTTTTTTCAAAACTTGTTTGGCCTAACTTCTGCTTATAAGTAGTTTCTAGCTTAAAAAAAAAATTCAAACGGGCACTAGATAATTTAGAGTTGAGGAAAACATATTTTTAAATTTTAATATATTTGGGCCATATTAATTTTTATTATAACAATCTTTTTCCTCCCACTCAAAATTATGTCGATTTTACATTATAGGACATATTTTTATCTCAGGATAGATATTAAGTCATTTCTTAAAACTATGTATGTCAGTATAAGCAGGCCCGGGTTATTAAAATTAGTTAAGTTAATTTCAACAGACCATGGTTAAGTATAATTCAGATTGGTAAATTGTTAATCAAATCCTGTCGGGTTAAATTTCCAGGGTGGCCTGTTGGACTATATTTTCTTTATTTATTTATAAATTAGAGTCTAACAATATTAATTTTAAATAATTTGTTAATTAATTTGTATTAAAACATTTAAAATTAATTATTACTTAAAATAAAGAAATGTTTGTTTTCAATAATATTTGGGTAAATTTAATTATAATAATTTTGGACATGTGAATTTGTATTATTGGGTTATTTGGGATGACTCATTAAGCATAACCCATTTTTCATGAAATCAACTTTCCGATGAAACTAGCCAAATAAAATAAATAAATAAATAAATAAATAATATATAATTGTTACACATTTTATAGGAGCATACTACCTCATGTCAGGTATCAGAGCATCTAGAAAGTAAAGTGAGATAAGTTGTAATCAAATAATAAAAGTTGTACAAATGTGAGAGCACATATATAAGTAAAATAATAAATATAGGGATTAATTTTCTCATATTAAAGGAGAAAATTTTATCTTTTACACACACAAATGTGTAGGGTCCATTTTTTTCTTTCTTCATTTCGAATGGCCTCACAGCTCACATGGATCTCAAACATTTTTATATGAGTAAGAGATGAATTATCCCCTACAACATGAGAAATATTAATCCCATAAATATAACAATATTGTTTTGACTTTTTGACCACTGTAGCCTTTAATTAATAATTAATTACATTTTCGCCCCTCTACCAAAACATATCACTCATCTGTCCCAGTTTTACCAGTTTTACTGTTGACACCATAAAATATCCGGGTACATAAGGGGTTACCTAGGTATACTTCGAAAAAATAACACTACCCGAGTACCCAGGTGGGCTACCCAGGTATTGTTCATAATCTGGGAATTACTATGAATTATTTACCCGAGTAGGAAGGGGACTACCCAGGTAAATGTCGTTGGTAGGGTTTTTTAAAAATCCAGCAGCCTCCATTTTCAAAAACCCACAAAAGGGATACCCGGGTAGAGCTGCTATGAAGGGCGAAATCAGTGATTCCCTCACCACATTGGTTAGACAAGCTTCTTCTTTTACGATCATCCTTTGTGCATCATCGTTTCTGCCTTCAACCAATTGAAAACCAAGAAATGTACGTTTTTTTACTTTTTAATTTTTGATAAACCCTAACCTTGCATTTTGATTTTCGTTTGTGGGTACCTTTCAAGTGCCCAAATATACTTTAATCATTGATTACACTTTGCATTTTGATAGTAATTGAACTGTTTACTAATTTAATTTTTGATTCTTGAAATTGAATTTAATTTTTTGTGTCCACGATTAATATTTGATCTTTGAGTGTTAATTATATTGCGATTGGTATTAATACGGGTGCATGCATTTGTATTTTTTAGTTTCACATTGTGACAAAATGACTGACAGACGCATTTCGAAGAAAAGATGGGTGGATATCGAGAGGAGGACCAAGAGTCGATATGATGGGTCGTCATCCTTTCAGCCACAGGCTACTATTCATCAAGCTCCTGACTTGCCTTTCGGATATTTATTTGAGGATGACATTGATGCACATGGGAAGTTTGTGAAGTCCTTCATGAGCCGCAAAATATGTGAGCCGAAATCACTAGATTCAGCGTTCTTCAACTTGGAGCGGTTCGACATTGTGCCACTTCTTGATCAGACACATCTCCTAGTGCTTGCGGAGCCGAAGTGCTCGTATTCGGAGGTTATGGTAAAGGCTTTCTACCAGATCCTCCACTACCTACATGGAGAGCTGACTTCCCGCGTCTGTGGAATTGATATTGTCCTTACTGCTCCTATCTGGACAGAGCTCCTCGGGTTTGACTTTGATGATTTACCAGACGCAGCTTTGTATGACGGAGACTCCCATCATATATTTGGTGGTTATGATTGGGAGGTGATTGTTGCAGAGACCAATAGAGCTGATGCAGAGGCTGGACATTTTGCTCATTATCTTATGAGCAATTTATCGGTATCCCCCCCCCCCCCCCACATACTACATGATATTGTGACACATATTTTTCCAGTGCAATCATAATCACTCGAAGGTGCTAGAAGGTGACTTTGTTGTTTTGTGGGCCTCCTTCACCATATTCAAGTAAAATGGAGGCACTACATATGCATCCTTATGTGGAAGGCTTCCAAGACTAGGAAGGCTGAATTGTCTTTTGTATTCCTAGTGCAGAAGATTTTGCACAAATTTGGTGTGCCTATGGAAACTGAGATGCTTAAGACAGCCACAAGATGGAATGCCATATTTGGTGAGCGTCTACTGAAGCAGTGTGGGATTATACAGAGCTGTGCGGGTGTGTAGTAC